ATCGGGTTATCATAGGTTTTGCTTTGATCTCTTGTACTAATTCGCTAGTATTGAAAAGCCTGAAACTGCGGACTGATTCTAGAAAGGATATTATTTATGTGATTGTGTTATTGTGAGGGTTGGCTTTATAATATAAAGGTTTGCAACTGACTGGGGTTTGATTTGTTTGTATTTGAACCTCCGTTTTCATGTGATTCGTTGTGTCAGCTGGGAGTCCTACTATTGTATAGATCGATGTTGGGATCCTAGGGATTGTGTAGTTGAATCAAGTTACCAATTAGTGTACTTGTATACCTTAACTGATTCTGAGGATAATCTCCTTGTTTTCCTATATAATAAGTAGTGCTTAGGTGGTTAGGTTCTTTGGTATAATAACTTATTCTGTTTTAGTGGCAGATATAATGGAGATATCTGCCAGTGTCAGGTTTGTGATTGTTTCAACAAGAGTGCTTTTTAGTATATACAGGGCTGGCTTATTGATCTGAACTGTAGGGCTGATGGTTATTAGTAACCTGTGGTTTATGTTCTGGGCAGTTTGTATTGTTTGTTGTTTAATATGTATGTTATTGTATAAGACCTTTGGTAAGGCCTCTTGGGATATGGATAGATCTTCTCGGTCTGTTTTGTTCTGATTTGTTTTGGGGGTCTTAAGGATCTTTGTGTAGGTTTTGGTAATAGTTTGTGTTTTCAAAGAAACTATACTTCTTGTCGCTGATAATGTATACAATAAATTCGATGCTTGGTCAAATCTATTGTTAATAAAAAGTGTAAGGATTTCAATAATTCTAATGCTCAGTTTCCTAATAATCATTTATTTATCCCCTATGGCGAAAAAATTGATATATCTATCAATTGCCTTTATCAGATCAGTTATAACCTTTCACTGAATCCTTTTAATATATTTATATTCAACAAGTTTAGCCTTGAAGGTTTCTATTACTAGATTGATGTTGTTATTGTTTGTTTTATTTCCCAGTTTAAAAACTAATAATATTTTGTTAATAAAGGTATATTACCTTCTTTTAAAGCGATTTCTTAGATTGAATAGTATTTTTAGATTCTGCGGATTGATGAAATCTATGTTTTCCAGGTTAACGATCTCAGGTGATATTGTATAAGATATTATTTTGTCTTATGTAGAGTGGTATGTATTGTATGTATTGTTGTGATTCTGTAAAGCTTGATTTCAGACCGAATTTCAACTTTTGGCGACCAGAAATTTTTCTTCGGAATATTGTGTTTGGGTGTAAAATCATAGGAAAGCCTTTGGTATAACCACATATCATACAATAATCATCTAATCGTAGTGTTATTGAAAGATAGTTATAGTCAAAAGGGAATAAAGTAATTATTCATCTAAATATTGAAGATAGGTATAACTTTGAAGAAATAAAATATGATAATTGATCTAAATTATTGGAAAAGGGGGTACAAGTATTTTCTTTAGGTTATCATGTGACTCTAATATTATTCATTGATTTCTTCATATTACTTACTTACTCATCTTTGGTTCGGGGTTTTGTTATCTATTAGATATATTTATTATCATTTTAAATATATAGTGATATTTATTTATTGTCATTTATTAATAATTTATTAACTTTAATAAATCAAAATTGTTGGAAGTGTAACTGTATATTATATTGTATATACTCTACATTGCAGTTGTAATGATAAGCTAGCTAGTGTATGCGCTAAGGCTAGCGTCAGTACTACCCAAGTGCACAATGCTAGGGTACCAACACGTGGTACAGGGTACAGTAGTATGCGTTCTAACAAAAATACTCGTATTACTACCGAAATCTCTTAATATTCATCGATCTATCTACTCATACTTATATCTAAACAAATACAAAAATATATTCCGCCACGGCCCGCTTATGCTCTGCAAGATCTTCGCGCTCTCAATAGAATGGAATGCGAAACTCTTAGATAAATTAAATTTGATAAGTATCGGATTCTCTCATTTTATCTCTCTTAATTTTTTGGGATATTTATACTTCATACAATTAGCGCTATGCTATGCTATGACTCGGATGAGTAAAGAAAGAGATTCTATTCTATTCACTTAGTGAAATAAGAAAATGTAATACTGAGTAAGTGGATCGGCGTTGTGATGTGAATGATGTGAGGAGAGACTCCAAATTTGTTATATATTATCTTTTAGATCACTAGATCGTAGAGACTCAAACTGGAACTGTATTTAAGGAAAGTAAGGTTGATTGAAGATTATATTTCTTAAGAGGATATCTTAGGTAACACTATTGAAGAATATTGGAACTTCTGTTATGTAGTATCGGTATTATAAAGTGGATTGTACGAGTAGTGTACAATGTATAGTCTCAGGCGCACTGTTTTCTATTTGTTTATTACGAGTAAATATATATTCGGTATTCGGTGTAGTAGATTGCAGGAATAATAATAGCAGTTAGTACTTTACTGTGGTATTTTTAGGGGAAAATGGTGATGGTTCTTGCAACGTCTAACAGATTACGGGACTAGTAACAGTATTGCTCTGCCGCAGCAGTATTAGCAAAATACGATAGCAGTTCTTATAAGATTATATACTTTATAACTACAATTTACTCAGCAATATAATTTATCGCATTTACATCAATCTACGAGTAATGAGCACTGGATAGTAATAATTTTCTCAATAAAAGCTTTAGCAAAGTCAACTTCCTATATATATTTGTGGGTAGCCGATGATAATATTTGGATTTATTGTATCTATATACTAGAGAGTGAAATATATAGATACTTAATAACTTTTTATAGATTTCGTTATGTTATTGATGAATCTATAACTAATAGACTACTTGTATCAGTATAGTTATTGATTCTGTTTAATTGAGTATTTATTCGTTATATATATAGATGTTTTAATAAATAGAGTACTCAATTTTCAAAAGTAAGATATATAAATCTATTAAACTTGCTTGCTTAATGAAAATTAGATAGATAACTAAACAGAATATATATAATGCACCAATTAGGAACTCTCGCGGGACGAAATCGAAGAGAGTAGTATTAGTGTTTATATTATAATATTATATCAATATTCTATAACTCTATCAATCATAATAATATAAGTATACAACTTTCATCGAGTTCTATACTCGTATATTCATCCGTTCTTTTAATAGTAGAACTATTCGAGTATAATATAAATACTATAACTAATAAACAACAATAAAAAGAGCGAAAGTAAGAAATCAAATTTATATTTCTCTAAGATTTCATTTTTAATAAACTAAAATAAAAACTTCAAGTTATATTTTATTTATAAACCGTTTTCTATATCTTCTTCTTAAATAATGATTCATATTATTTTAATGTTTTATACACAAGATGAGTTTCAATATTTAGAATTTGAAACTATTCTTATACTCGAGTAGCTTTTAAAAGAGACTAGAGCTAGCGACAGTTTCAAAATAATTAATTATAGACTAGTATTTACTAGAATTATTTATTTATTAATTAATATATAACTTTATAATCGTTCTTTTTTTTTAAAAGAATATTAATTCTGTTTTTAAATACTATTCTTCTCTCCGCCTTTCCTCTCTTTAATACTCTCTTTTCTTTCTTTTCAAGTTATAAATATCCTCCCGTTCGATACCCCACTCCTCTTCTTTCCTTAATACCCCCTCCCCCGTTCCTCCAGTCAATACCCTCTCTCTCTCTTATCCCCTCTCTTCCATTTTCCCTCTTCCCTCTTCCCCCTTCCCCTTCCCATCCTTTCAATACTACTTTCCTCCCTTTCCCCCCTTTCCCTTCTTTCAAAATGTCTTCAAAATGTCTTCAATTGAAAATTTCTTCAAAAATACATTTCAATATTAAACACTAATTACCATCATGATAACAAAAATTAAAACAAACCAACCACTTCAAGTTAAGATTACAAAAGAGCCGCCAAATATTCAAATTCTATTTACTAATTAGTACTCTATTCATCAATCTATAAATAAAACAAAATAAAATAAATCTATATTACTAGTAACATCCAAATCCTCAATTTTCAAATTCTAATTTCCAATTTCAACTTCTTCTCCTTCTTCTTTTCCTTTCTCAGAGTCTTCTTTATGATCTCTTTTCTCTTTTTTTTTTCCACCCTTCCTTCTTCTCTCTTCTACCCCTACCTTTTCTAATCCAGAATTATATTCTCCACCCCCTCACCCTCACCCTCTCATATCCTTATCTCTCTTCCCCCTCCCACTCACATCTATATCATTTATCTATTTCATCTCCTATCCCTCCTATTCACATCTATATCATCCATCTCATCTCATCTCCTATCCTCCATCCCACTTACCTCACTATTTCCCATCTTTTCTCTCTTGTCCTCTATATCTATCCATCTATTTATTCATTTATTTATTCGTCATTCACTACACCACACTACACCACCCTACTCACTCATCATCTAAATAAACTATCTATATCACATCACATATGTATCTCTTACATTCCCCCTCTCCTCCTCTCCACATTCTCCCTCTCCCCCTCTCTCCCCTTCTCTCTCCCCTCTCCACATTCCCCCTCTCCCCTCTCCCATCACATATCACATTCTCCCTCTCCCACTCTCCACATTCTACTTCTATCACATCCCATATCTCACATCATCCTCATCCTCATCCTCATCCTCATCCTCATCCTCATCTTCCTCCAAACTACTCTACTCATATTTTAATATACCCACCTACTAGTAGATATCTTCAAGTTTGTAAAGAACAGAACAGAATATAAATATGAATAACTAGTTAGTTAGTTACTCTATGAATCTCAACGAAACACTTAAGAAACATCTTCACTTAAAAAAACCATCATTATATGTGTACTCAGTAATTCATCGAAAATGGGGAATATCAACTAACGCCTTCAAATATACAACTAAACAATCAATCAAATAATCAAATCCATCAGTTATTACTCATATACGCCATCTAGTCTGAAATCTCATTCTCATAAAATTCTCCTATATCAAGAGTCCATTCAATTCATCTATATCCACCCCAAGGCAAAGATCCTCCTCCAGATCCAGAACCCGCTCCCGCTCCCTCTCCCAATCCCGAGCCATTTCTTTGATGACCCTGATCATCTTGACTTCTCCCACCAACACCAAAACCCCCAACTTCCGTAGCCGTAGCCGCTCTCCTAGGAGCTTGAATACCGAACTCCTCATCCCCATAATCTTCATTTCTCCCACCATTTGATCTCATTTGACTTGGACCCGCAGTCGCCGCTCTAGGAATTGGTTCTGTGAAATTCCTAACTTGAGGTGGACTAGTTGTATGGCTACCAAAATTAAAACCAGCGTGTTCTTGCTCGACTGGAGTTTGGCTTGTTGAATTAGGATTGAATTGCTTGTATCCACCGGAAATTCCGGAAGGTGGATTTCTAGTATTTTGACCATATCCTTGACCGATATTCGATGGAGCAGGTGAAGAACGTCCATTGTTTTGTAAAGCTGGATCAAATGGTGTTCTACGACCGAACTCGGATCCAGGACCTGGTGATGATCGTGCTTGTTCGTTATAATTTAACGGTACCATTGGTCTACCAAACTCAGATCCAGGAGCAGGAGATGATCTTCCTTGATCATTGTAAACATTGTATGGTGGTCTTGGTCCTCCAAATTCTAACCCTGGTGCCGGTGATGAACGACCTTGATTTTGAAGAGCTGGATTAAACGGCGTCTGTCTTCCGTATTCTGATCCATATTCTGATCCTGGCGAAATCATACGATTTTGAGGGTTTTGCATTGCAGGATCAAATGGTGTACGTCTTCCTATCGATGGAGCTGGACCAGGGCCCATGGGTGTGTGTGATCTTGGAATTGGTCGTCCATAAGAATCCATAGTATTTTGTCTTTGTGATCCCGGAAATCCAGAAGCATTTCGTCCATCAGCATAAGAAAATGGACTTGCTGTAAAGCCACGGTCGCCGGTTGCAGATGGCATTCTTGGTGGACCTTGAGGAGGACCTTGTGGTGGACCACGTTGCCATTGACTACCTTGTGATCCTGCAGTATTCGATCTTTGTGGACTAGGGAATGGAATGTCGGTATCGAGTGGTGGTAGATCCGGTAATCTCCCCATATCGCTTGCATTATTCACGAGAGGAGCATCTGAAGCATAACTTAATCCAGTAGCAGATCTTCCAGGTAATGGTCGTTTCTGATCCAACTTCTCCAACTCGAAACTAGCGGTGGGTGGAAAATTACTACTTGGTGTACCTGGTCGAGATGTATATTGTGGTAGTGTTGTCGTCGTGTCCGCCCTATTGAGCGTAGGCATATCCGGAAGTTTATCGTCTCCCTTTGAGTCGAAAAATGTTGGAAGAGTTGCTTGACGTCCACTAACTTTTTCCCCATTCTTTACCGCTTTTTGTTCTGCCTTGGTTCTTTTCCTCTCCTCTTCTTCGATAGCTTTATTGACCTTGACACTCACGATCTTTGTCAAACGACCATTAATCTTTCGTTCACAATACCCTGTAAGTCCACCATCTTGGTTTGGGATATAATGCCATAAGAACAGTAGATAGAATAAAATGGCGAGTATAAGACTCAATGCGGAAAATATCCAAATAACCAGTGTGAAGATCATACCAGACAAGATGACTGCTTGTTGATGTTCCTGCTCTGCAAGAAATCCAACCTTCTTGAAAAAAGTTAATAGAGCATCACCAACATCGTTAGAGTCGGTAGGGTCAAGCTTGGCGACAAAGACCGAGTATAAAGTCAACGCGTTAATGACTTGACGAGGCCCTTGACAAAAAACGACTCGAATCCAAGCTGAGATTGTTAGTAATGACTAGATGATGAGTCTTGGGGCGACGTACATTGGAAAGCGAAATATGTAAACAGTGCAACATATTCGGTCCCTTTCTTAGATTTGGTCAATTCCGCAAAAACCATGAATCTTCTCCAACCTCGACCCTCTTTTCCCATTTTCACACTTTCGAGTCGAACGGCAAGATTGTCCAAGTAACTTTCCGCAACAGCTCCTCGTCGCATCACTCTCCATGCTCGTAAATGTTCGAATCCGAGATTGATCCAAGAAGCAATGATACATCCAGAGAAGATCCATTTCGAGACATGGATAGGAATTTTAGGTTGAATCTCACCAGACCAACGATTGAAGGCTAAAAGGTTCACAGCAGTGAAAGTATCCACACCATAGACGGCAGTAGATATGCCCAAAGAGATCCAAAGATATCCATATGCGAAAGGGGTAAGACAGGATGTCGATTTAAAATCGTTCAGACTCTGTAGTACAATTAGTGAATTCCCATTTCCAAACACAATCCAACCTTACGATGAAATCCCATTTCTGCTCAGGACGCAAATCATCCACCTTTACACGTCTTGAACTGCAACCCATGTTTGAGATGGTAATGGGTAATGGGTATATGTTTAATTAAAATTCGTTTGGCTCTGCCACGATGACAATTGATATAATGTCGAAGCACCTGGCTAGAAAAGAAAGGGATCGTAATCTCAAAGGATTGTTGGATAATTCGTAAGGAAGTACTCTCTTCGATCTAAGGAACGTAGAGTTAAATTGATGCACTTGTCGTTCTCCGCCTGCGAAGTATCGACGTTGTGCGGGTTGAGTGAGGGTAATGTACAATTGATTTGTCGAATAGATGTTGATGTACTGTATATGTACTTGGTGGGTATGAAAGAAGGATAATCGAGGAGGGATATGATGAGAGGTAAGACAACGATAAGTCTTGGATTGTGGAGGTAGTCGATTAAACGGGTACAGACGTCCAGGACAGTGGGATTGTGGATATAAGTTTTCGGATCGACCGTGGCTTAATATATGGCTGTTCCTATTGTTGGATCATTTTTTTTTTGGTTGATTGTGACTTTTCACAAGAAATTGGAGTTTATTGCGAATGCGAATGCGACTGCGACAAGTAATTAATTCACTCCTCATGCGATTTGAAGCGATCCAAGCCAATCATTCGAACGGAGATTGTTCTCAAGTGAAGATCAACACAATAGAGAAGATATTGTTACTTTCTTTTTTGGTGAGATGTCTTGTATTACTCTGAAGTAGTCTGAAGCGCGCGGGTTTGATCGTCCCTACGTTAGGAAACTCGAAATTTGTATGGGGGATGGTCGGAAGTTGGGTGATCGGAAGTTGGTAATCGGGAAATTGATCTTTTCTTTTTCTTCAATAAAAGAAAGTTCTCAATATGATTGGAGGTATTGTGATGTTCAAATGAATGTTCAATATAAGATATTGATTGTGGTGAAGTTCCAGCTTTGTATGTATTGTATTGTTTTTGAATTGATCTTTATGATTAGAAGGATGATGAGCTCGGATATATGTTTTATGTGACTCGAGTATGAGTAAAAAACGATAGACAAAAGGAGAGATGGATGGCGTATGACTTGTTTGAACAATTGAAGCCTTTTTGCGCATGAGAGAGTGTGAGAGGAGAGAAGTGGAAGGTTGAGTGAGTGAGAGAGCGGGTGAATGGGTTGAATGGGTGAGGGATGCATATGGAGAGAGGGAGGGTAAATGAGTGGAGTGAGGGAGTGAGACAAGTTTAGGGTGAATTTGTCTTACTTTTTTGATGGGTTGCTCGTACCTTTTCTGTGGCAGTTGGGTGGCTGTTGAGTGGCTGATAAGAAAAGGTACAAATGCATGGATGCAAGGGCAATGCGCCAAGGATATGGATATGAGTTGAAAAGACAAGTGCGTTTGAAGTTGAACATATTCTACGGAGGTAAGGGATGAACTTGGGATAAGAATAAGAAATCAATGGATGGAGAGAACGCATTTCATATTCATGTATTCTGTGGCTACTAAAATAAAATAACTGCAACTGCACCACCTCAACTTCACTCAAGGATTTCCATAACTCTCTCCCTTCCCCCCAGCCAAAAAGATAACAAATGGAGTTAATATCGCGAATAAAAAGTGGAGTACGAAACCACAATAAATAAGGAACAATAATAACTCGATAAGGATAATGATATAATGATATCCGCGTTAATCTGGGGAAACACAATTATTATTGGTTAATATACTGTTTGGTTCTAGTTATTATTCGTTATTCCCTTATACCGAAATGATATAATATATCCTTCTATTTCTATAATATCTTTAAACCAATCAAATCAATCCCTTCCCTTACTTAATTAACCTTTACACTTGTATCATCCATCATCAGGTACCCGAGGCCGAAGTTTGAACCCTATCCAATCAATCAAATTAATCCACTATTTTCTTACCATTCCCCTGTTTCCTCTATCTAGGTGTATCTACATATGCTATACTCACTCACCCGTTTCACCTAAAAAAAACCCTATACAAATTAAATTTCTCGTCCAGTAATTTAAACTTCATCACTACCGGTACAGTACCGCATTCATTCAATTAGATCCGTAGAGAGCAAATCAACTAATTCGATTCCTACATTGATCTACTTGTAGATGCATATGCATATACATATGTACGCATGCACACCTTGAAACAATGGGGAAACAAATCATATCCATATCATCATATCATATCATCATAATGGGGAGAAAGTACCGATACCGAATCATCTACCAATACAAAACTAAAAATAAAGATAAAGATCACGAATAACGAATGGATAACATACCATACCATACCGGTACTCAGTATAGGACCCGTCTAATAATATAATATCGGTATAGTTACTACAATAGGAAATAGTAAATAGTTCTCAAGAGCAAAAGAAAAAGAAAAACCATCGAGCGCAGCGAGCTATGGGGGTTTGGGGGCTTGCCCCTTAAATAGAATATAGAATCTATTCAATTTAATTCAATTCAATTCATATGAAATGAAATGACGCTCAGCTGGCCCTCCGGGGGCCACTGCCGTGGAGGCAGACTATCAATGACAATGACAATGACAATGACAGGACTAGATATAGCTATTTGGAAAAGAAAAGAATGAATGGATGGATGTCTTTTGAGTTGAGAAGATAAAAGAATGAATAATTAAACTAAGGAATACGATTATAGTTTGATTATGTAATGAGTATATTGAAGTAGTATCAAGTTATTCTAATTCAAATATCTTAGTGAGTTATTATAATTGTTATAAAAATTAGTTTAGTATATATATATATATAATCTATAGATTCTAGAGACTTTCTTTACGATTATAAGCCGTTTTTCGGTGTTTCAAATCCATCAGCCACACCACCCACCACAACATATGAGCCACATGAGCCACATGATCCCACCAACTCTACTTTCTGCCCACTCCCAGAGCGGTGAATCAATATTTTTAGAGAATGAACTTCCAACTTGTAAACATTCAACTTGTAAACTTCAGATCTCACATATCCAAAACCTCTCTCCCTTCAGACTCGATGTCGCCAGCATCCAAATTCCGGTTGTCAATCTGGCCTACTCGAATTCGAATTCATGAAATCCAAAACTCGTTCAAACCTTCAGTCTTTCAACAACAACAATACCGAACCATCAAACTTTGGATGTATGCCAAAACTGCGAGCCAAGTGGGACTACAAAATATCACCAACTACAGAAGATTCGAAATCAGCACACCTGAATCATGTGAGGTTCAACTTATCGATCCGGGGTCTATAGAGTATCTACCCTCTCCCCTTATAGACGATCCAGGAAGAATGGTAGCTCATGTCATAGAAAATCCTGCATTCATAACATTGCCCTTGAATGTGGTTATACGTAAACATATCAAAGATGGAATATTTCTCGGGGTCCCGGAAGATCGTCAAAATACAAGTCAATATTATTTACAAAAGGTCGCAGATAAAAACTATTCCCCATATACTGGAAAGAGCCTGGGATTCCCAGGGGATGCAAGTGCGCGCAGAGTCAAATTACTCCCTTTCCACCCAGATCAGCCATGGCCCCACATACAACGAGTCCTGAAAGAAGCTCGAGAATGGCTCCAGAGCACGCCCAGGGCGGTGATAGAAATACATGTCGCTCCCAGTCGCAGCAAGGGTGCCGTCAAGAATGAGAAGGAGGTAAAGGAAATCCCCAGCAAATGTTTACATTTGCGTCCCGATGTAATCAAGAGGGCAATGCCGTGGAACGTGAAGTATGGGGTTCATGCACAAACGAACGATGTGGAGTATTGCTGGGTGTTATCACAACACGAGGAGATGACCAGATATTTTGACGATTTACGAAACGCGGTAAAGTACAGGCTAGGAAAGGAAGAGAACGCGAGAGCTAAAGTCGAAGATCTGAATATAATTCCGGAGACACGGGAGTTGGTTTCCTCACGACATGGACGGAACGATAGCGGGGGAGACGCTGCGGTCAAGCCTATAGAATGGAAGCCTTTGAGTAAAGATGAAACAGCACATCATCCAGAGTTTGTGTCTCGTAGGTCCTTTATAGAAGGAGCAAAACGGCATCCATCTTATAAGCGTTTAGCATCTATACTAAAAGGGTAGATAGAATGAAAGAGTAGAAATTATAATAATAAAAGAATAGAATCTAGGAGATTATAAATTATATTATACTAGTTTAATAACGTACTCGTATATTCAAAAAAGAATATGATTTTTTTGATCTCTTATAACTTTTCATCTCAATCTCAAAATATTAGTTTTAACAAAAAGATTATTTCAAAATTAGAAATATATAAATATTATTCAGATGTAATGGATTATGAATGGAGATATTAAAGAGTATTATTATACTATTAGACCAAGAAAACAACTCACATTCTCAAATACTGGGAGATATACCTGGCGGGATAATATTATCAAACAAATGAAGCCAGTCTCTTATTGAAAACTCAGATATACAATTAGTTGAGACCATATCATTATCACATATGCCAGTGTGGAATATGAACTCGAGTGATTCCGTAGCGTTGTCGAACTCGTCTTGTTTGTTTGTTTGTTTGTTTGTATGCCGTTCATACTATTGAACCATCCAAAACCGACTATATATTCGAATGTTATTGATGTGGTCTACCCCATTCGTTGATATGTCCCACCTATCGATATCGACTAATAGAACTATCCCATTCGTCAATATCAACGAATTGGATGGGATATATATACAAAATTTGAATTTTGATATCGACAAATAAGATAATCTTATTCATCGATATCGATTAGTATTTATATTAAATTAGAAATTATATATATATTTTCGAAATATCTAATAACG